GCTTATTGCAATGAACATATTTACTGGTGGATTTTTTAAAAAAATGTCTCTATGTTGAGTTGAAAGGTTTCAAAGTCTGGTGATTTTATTGTCGGGTTAAGAGTTGGTGCACCATAGTAAGTTACCCAAGCAGCCCATATTTAGAAAAGTGACAGCATTTAAAGATTAGCAACATTTTTGGATACTTTGCACTATAGTAAGAAAACAACGTTATTAAATCAGTGCAGCACTCAATCTCTATTTTAGGATTGATAGTTGAATTCTTGAATTTTTTTAAATTGGACATTTTACGAAAACTATTGCATTGTATATTATAGGCCCTTTAACATTAATATTAACATTGATGTTAATGTTAAAATGTTGATGTTAATCATTAGAAGAAAAATTAACATAAAGTAATCCTCAATTTTTTAAAATGTTAAGTGGAATCAAACTATTTTTGACTCCATCAAACAAATATTTACAAGTTCTACCTACATGTTTATCATTCAAAAATATTTGCATATCCAACTAACATTACATGTTGAACAGATCTTTATTACTACTACTGTTATTATTATTATTACTACTAATACTGTTACTATTATTACTATTATTGTTATTATCACTTCTATTACTAATATTATAATTGATATATCTCCTAATTTGCCACCATTACTATTATTTATGGTTCAATATTAATTATTACTTTCTTATCTTTTATTTTGGTACAAGTGCTGTGGTTTTTGACATTCTAAGTAATGAAATGAATGTAAGGAAAAAATTTTAATGACTGCCGAACAGGATGCGAAATGCGTGATCAAAAATATTGGGGGAATGCCCGGTTGGGGAAATTTTTATCAAAAAATATCGGGCCAAAAAAATTTTCTTAAATAATAATAATAACAAGTAGGGTTTCTATTCGAATTACTCGTTTTATTCGTTATTATTATTATGAATTTGAGTATATATTCAAGTTAATATATATAGTTTTTACTTAGTCCTTATATACAGTAATAATAACAATAAATAATGGTAGCAAAAGTAATTGACATTTTTCTTAAGCCATAATACTAGCAGCCATAGTAGTAGTAAAATAGATTATAAATATAACCATACTATCTTGTTAAAGGAAATAAACCTTATTTACACCTTAACAATAACAACAACAACAATATAGAATTTGTTGTGAATTAATGTTTTATACTTTGTAAAACGAATAAAATTAATAAAGCGAATAAAATGAATGAATAAAGAGAATAAAATTAATAAAGCGAATAAAGCAAATAAAGCGAATAAAGCGAATAATTTGAATACCAGTTATATTTAATATATGTCGAACTATATGCAACCCCCATCTTAAACATTTAAGTGGAACAATAGGAATATTTGTCTTATTGAGTTGATAAATGAACTAGAAAAACTTCGTTATAACAAAAAATCGTTTTATCGAGCCACGTCTCATAACCTTCTAATTGTGTTAGTGTATATCGGAATAATAGGAAATAATCTTGCTTGCTTGTCTAAAAATGTATCGTACATCGAGTTCCAACACTTGCCAGTTCATTTGTGAATTGTTTCTCAATATTTCTATGTCATATTTTGTTTGGCTGTCTCCAGTCATTTTTGTATATGAAAGAATTTATATGTCGATTGATATATCGATTCAATAAAACATCGGAAATACTTCAAGGATGTTGATCTATTTAATAAAACACTGATCATTTGCTTATGATCGATATCCAAAGATCTGGGATCTGAAAAGGTAAAACTTCAACATTACATTAACTGTGTAATAATCTCTTGAAAGTTTCAAACGGATTTTGTGAATTTGAAGTATTTTATGAGGACTAAAAGTGGAATTTAACAAAATATCTAATGATACAGAATCTAGGATGGATGAGGTTATGGAATGTTTTCAAAAAATACATTTTAAATGATGGTTTCTAGATTTTGTTATTTAAAGGTATAGAAGGTATAAAAGTTCCAAGAATCATAACCAATTCAAAAGCAAAGCTCAAGAATGAGAAGAAAAATTTATTATTATTATTATTATTGCTCATATCCATTAGTTTCTTTTTAATTACATACAAGTTAGGGTAGGAGAGCGAAATAATAAAATAAATTGAGTGGGCCGGACTAAATAAGTCTTTATCAGCAATGGATTTGATTTGATGTGGATTATCGATCCTTAAACTTGTTCTCAAGCTAAAACTTGTTGATTGTTTATTAACTGGAAAGAAGAAAAATTTAAAGCTTGTTTGCTGTTGCTGTTATTTTAAAGTGAATGAATTTGGAAAATTATAATATCGAGTAAAAACGATATTATCGGTGAATACGAATTTCATCCAAGAAAAACGATTGATCAATCATCATTTGTTTACCGACAAAATCGTCTTCTCTTTCCTTCTTTGCAAGGAGAAGAAAAACTACTAGGATCAAATTTCATATAATATAAATCAGGCTCCTCGTTTCACGTCTTAAATGATTTAAAAAAACTATCACGAGAGAGAGTGACAGAGACATGTTAAATTAGCCAATATGAATTCGCATCCAAATACCCCAACCTACATGTATTAATAGTTTGTAAATAATATTAACAACCAATAATATCATTACTGCTAACTATAGACGAGTATCTAAATTAAACACATTTGACAATGTCTAAATCTAAATTAATTTAGTATAAATCCTTAAGTAATAGTCAGATTTGATTAGAATACATGTCTATTATTTATATTATTTTATTCACATCTATTATTCTTGAGATTTTTCCATAGAAATTAGGTGTAACAAAAAAATAATGATGGAGGATCATGTGAATATCAGTTTTGCATAATCTTACATTTTATTGTAAATGAATTTTTTTAATCTCAAAATAATACATTTATTTATATTTACCAGGTAAATAAATTCCTAATTAAAAATTCTTTCCTTTTTATTTCTTTTCATCATTATCATTATCCAATTTATCATTCATTATCATTTAAATTAGAAAACAATCCAACAAATATTTCACCTAAATCAATATTTAACTCGACTTTGCATAATAATATTATTATTATCTTTTATTTCTTAATTGCTACAATTATTATCTTCTAAATTATAAAAATCAATTATTAAAACACAAGACTTTTTATTGAAGCCTTTTTTCTTGCTCTTAATTTTTGGGCCGATCTAATAATAGTTTAATATATTTAAATAAAGAATATTTATAATAACTATACACATAAAATTTATATTACATACTTTCGTTTCGACTCTAACATTCGTTGACGCCTTTCTTCATCATTTTTAGGACGATTTGGGTTACTATCCCAGCGTGTTCCGCGGCGTAATGTTACTTTATGAATTTGTGCCAAGTGACGTCTCAAAATGGAACGTGAGTTATTACCCATGTAAAGTTTGCCACATTCTTGACAAGTTGCGCTCTTAACAGGTGGGTTTGAACCAATAATGATGGAGGGTGAGGGTGAAGGTGAGGGTGAAGAGGTTATAGTAGAGTGACTACTAATACTACCACTACGACTGCTACTACGACTACTACTACGACTACGACTACTACTGCTGCTACTACTACTACTACGGCTACTACTATTATAATTGCTATTAGTTATTTTGTAGTTTGCTGGATCAGTTGTTAGATTTGATGATGATGATGATGATAATGGTGATGATGTTATTCTAGTGTTTGGATAAAGGATGAATGGATAATTTTCGTTGTTCACAGATTTTCTCACAAGATTTTTTTCTAAAAGTGGTGGAAGATAATTGTAGTTTAATGGAGCGAGTAATGATGGTGATGGTGATGGTGACAATTTATCAGAGAAAGCAGTATTGTTACTACAACGTGAGCTTGTTGTGCTTATGAAGGGGTTAAAAGAGTCGAGCCATTCTTTGGTATTAACTGCTGGAGGACAAAAATTGTTAAATGTTTCGACTAATGAGTTCATTTTATATAAATAGAGTATATATTTAAATTAGTAAATTTGTATTATGGTAAAATGTTTTTATTATAAAGTGTATGAAGTGTTGGACGATTCTACTGAAGTAGTTTATTTACTATAGTATATGTATGTATGTTATTATTATTATTATCACTAGTTATTGCTAGTGTTTTTTATTTTTTATTTTTTCTAAGAAAAAAAAAAGTTTGGAATTTGTCTTTATATAATTATCGACGCGTAAACTTAAATTATGATAAAAATCGCGTAAATTGGTAAATTCCAAAATGTAAATTTACGCATAATTTCAATACAACAATATCAGCAGCATAAATTAATTACACAAGTAATGTTGAACAAACAAACAATAAGCTCATGTTTATTTAAGATCATATAAATAAATATATATATATATATATATATATAATTTATGTTATTATTCTATATATATATATTAATATTAATATATTAATTAATATATTAATTAATATATTACGACCGATTTCCAATTTTTCTATTTAATAATATTATTGGAAATTTGGCTAAAATTGTGAACTCTGAATGAATATGATTGACAATGATTGCATTTGGGGACATGAAAAAGATCCAATTTTTCGAACAATAAGAAATCTACCTTTAAAAAAAAAAATCGGAATTCAAAATAAATTTGGTGACAAAAAAAACCAATTATCTCCGGATCATCAAAGAAAATTTACTTATTTAAATTTTCTCATTTCTTTTTTTGTATAAATTTCTGTTGATAGAAATAGAAAAAAAAAATTTTTTAAAATGTATAATAAATATATTTTTTAATTTTTAGTTCACACTTGTCTAGTTTTTTTTAAAAAGAAGTTTGCAAAAAAATTTATAATCTTTACTTATTCACTAGCAAAAAAAAAATTTTTTCTGTTACTTCTGATTATTTTAATAATACTCCAATTCTTATGGAATTCAAAACAAGAGACACAAGTCGTCGTCAATATAGAAACAACCCTTACCCACGACAACCATATTCAACACACTACAATAACGGAATTGGAATTCAACGTAATGTAAATACCTATCAAAGTTCCTCCTATATTAGTGGTAGTAATGGTAGTTCTACATCTTATCATTACCATCAACAACACTCGAACAGGTTCAACAACAATAATAGAGAAACAGGACCACCGACAAAAGTTCCGAAGAATCAAAGATCACTACCCTCTAAAGAAATACCACAACCATCACCAAAGATCAATGAAGAAGAGGTTCAAAAAAATGCTATTCGTTATGGAAAGTTCGAACTTAATATAAAGGAAAGGCTTGATAGTTTTAAAGAGAAAAAGAAAGATGGTCCAATAATCTGTCATCGTGAAATGAAAGAAATAACAAAAGGTTTTGATATACGATTTGATGAATGGAGCAGTTTTGTTGCTGCTGCGCCAAAAATACCACCCAGACCAAAAGAAAAAAATCCACAACCTAATAATAATCGTTTTTCTCCATACAACAAGGCATCATCATCTCTATCACAACAAAAACAAGTTAATACTAGTAGTATTAGTAGCAGTAGCGTTGTCAATAATAATAAGAATAGTAGCGCTATCAACGATAATAATAATATTGATCAAAAATCAAAGCCTGTTCTTAATCCAATGATCGATTATTTATGTAGATTAGGTTTGGGTAATTCTAATATATTGAATAAGAATGAAATAAAGTAAGTAAAATATTTATTTTTATTGTGATTATTTTATTTTATCACTGTCATTATCGTTTAATTTTTTAATCGGATTCTTTTAATTGTTAAATTATATTTTTATTAGAATTGTCGCGGAAAAAGAGAGACAAAAGGAGACAATAAAGAGAGCCAAAGAATCTTTAAAGGTTATTAATAACCTAATATATACATATAAATGTGTATATGTTTATACGTATTGATATTTATATGATAATTTATTATTTTATAAACAGAGTTTTAGAGAGGAGAGAAAAGGAAAAATGTCACCAGAAATTGAAGTGATTACATATCGTTCTAAAAAGGCACCAGAGATTGCAGCAAAACGACCTGCTCAAATGGCTCCTATTGTCAAATCACCAGATGCAACTACTCGTGATAGTTCAAAAATAAAGTTTGATTCAAATAAATTAATTGTAAAATTATCTTATAATAAAACAGATAGACAAGCATGGAATAGTGTCAAGGATATGAAAAGACAACAAAATCTTTCATCATCATCATCATCATCTTCTTCTTCTTCTTCTTCCAACCCACCCCATTCATCTGCGGCTTCTTCTACAAGTGATTTAACAACTACTACATCATCAACGTCAATATCAACTGTTCCAACAATTAGCACAAAAAAAGTATTTGATAAAAGCATTCAATATTTAGAAGGAAAAGATAATGAAATGTTAGTACAACATCAGATATCAACTCAAACTGATGATTATAAACCTGAATCAAGATCTGTTCACGTTCAGACAGATAATACTGATGTCGTACCAATTGATCCAGAAGAAGTATTATTTTATCAAACGGTCGCAGAAAGAAAGTTTAAACTGGCAAAGACTTACAAACGTCGAGCCGATCATAGTAGACCAGAGAAGGAGTTAAGTGGGATGACAGAGAAGCAAAAACTGGAGAGATTGTCCGATCACATGGAAATTTTGATCCTATATATAGAGTGGTTCTATAGAAATATTCAAGCACACGGAGAAAATACTATCGACAAGATTGACAAGATTGGAACTGTGTTAAATAGCATTGATAATCATTTCGGCTGGGTATCCGACAATGCAAAGAAGCACGACCCACTTGCACTATTACCACTTATCAATAAGCTTAGGGCAATATTTCTCATGAATCGTTTGGGGTTGGAGCAAAAGAGATTCACCAAATTAAGCAATGAATATATTAAGTCGTTTAATGAAGAAGCAAAAACTGGTATTTTTTCTAATACTATTCCAAATAAATATATCAAGTATGTTAATAATTTACTTTTCTCAAAAAAGAAAAATAACTAGTTTAAATAATTCTATGATAGAGAGATAATTAATTTTATAATTTTATGATAAAAAAAAATAAAACAGTACGTTGAATGAAATGCAGAAAAGTGCAACAAATTTATTCAAGTTGATTACTAATTTGTGGGATGAAGGCAAAGATTTTCATGTTAGTAATAGAGTAAATAATGGAGTAAATCCGTTAAACTTAACAATGCCAATTGAGAAAGCATCAGAATTCGCTAGAATTTTTGTTAATGATTGGAGAAGTATTAACAAGATCGATTTTGTTAGTTTGTCGTGAGGTTTATTTAAGTGCAAATTAATATTATAATTTTTCAAATAACATTAGCTTTTAAAAATTATTATGTATAAAAATAATTAATATAATTAATATATATCTGAATAACTATGTAAATACTATTATTATACGATAAATTATATCATTGTAGTAATTATACTCTTGTTACAACGAAGTGGCTGGATATATAAGAAAATTTCATTCAAAATTCGTTGAAACAAGATTACTAATCGCGTCTTTATATGTTTTCATAACGTGTAACAAGATTTTTAAAAATTCGTTGAAACAAGGTTTCACTGTATTATCACACATTGATAAATATAATAAAAAACTAATTGAAATCAATTTATTATCATTACGATTGAAGAATTATATTGGTTGCTAATAAATTACTATACTATTATTTTTATTATTTTGAATCTTGATACATATAATTAGTAACCAATTACATCATGTTTTACAATCCATGGGTGTTTTAATGCGTTTTCCAACGGCAAACTGTCTTTTAGAGCCTATTCAATTTGATTTTTTTATATTTGTGTAGAGAAAATATATCAATTAATAAATAATTCATTTTTATAAATAAGAGGAGGTTTACCAATTTGATAAATGTTTTTGCATCATTTGTAAGATGATTTGGAATTAGATTGTTCTTTTTTTTCGTGACCAGATAGACATTGTGCCAAAATTGTAAGCTTGACCATTTGATGGATGTATCATATCTAATTAGATATAATAATAATATAGACATTTTAAATATTTAAATATTATTATAATGATATTTATCATTATTATCTTATTTTTAATTGGTTTAAGCCCAATAAAAATTTGACGTTGTGGTGATTGGTATTTAATAAGTTAAGCCTGAACCTTTAATTGTTTACGCGAATATTAAATATAATTGAAGAAAATGAGATTCATCAATTTTTTGTCGAAAACTAGAAAAGTTCTTGACTCACTTATGCTCTGATTATACTTACCCAGGTACGACGAGTATTATAAACGGAAGTTGTTGGTGTAATTTGGTTCTATTATATTTTTCTTTTTTTACACCAGAAAATTTTTTTTTAATATACCTCCAATATGTGCTGGAATAAATCATCCACGAACAATCTATATTAAAAAATAGTCCCATCAGTGCAAGTGTATATTAATATAGTTATTTTATACCAACTGTCAAAAGATCACAGAGGAGATCACACTTTTCAAATTGGCATTTATTTATTATAAAGCTACAATAAATATGGCTGCCTAAAAAAGCAATTCTGCAAATTACTGCAAATTCTCAATGTTTAAAAGTTACATTGGCGATTTCCTTATTCAAGTTATAAGGCTGATCACGTAATCCTAAGGTTTTAGTCAATATGACTTGACTAAATAAAGTGTGTAGCTTTTTTCATGTAATTTGACATAATAAACTTTTAGCCAATTTTTAGTCATTTGACTCGAGTCATTGATTTTTTACCCCACATATAGAACAATGAAAAACGTTGTGCAACATTAATAAAAAACAATTTTTCTTGAACAAATTGTAGTGCAATTAGGGATGGGAACGGTTCCTGTCACGCGCCGCGACGAATAATATTTCCATAATTGATCCGTGACGATTAATATACTAAATTATAGGTGACAATTAATTTGTCTTGTTTTGGCAATCTAAATGTCACCTGTAATTTAGTATATTAATCGTCACGGATCAATTATGGAAATATTATTCGTCGCGGCGCGTGACAGGAACCGTTCCCATCCCTAAGTGCAATTTCTGTCATATTTACATAATTATTTTTTTACAACATTATCGTACATATATCAGATCATCACAATGTGACTTTTTTACATTATTATTAGTGCAGTAGTGTTGTTAATTAATATAAATATTTCTTTGTCAAGTGACAATTTGGAATCTACGGCAATAATCGTATTAATATTAATATCTTATCTCAAACCCTGTTTTATCTACCAGAAAAAACAATAACAGTGATTTTTTCTAGCATGGCTAATTCAAAAACATCACTTGAATTTATTATTTGATGTTTCTAACATTGACAATAATTGAATCGGGTAATTTTATTATTAATTGGAGGGTTATTTAGAGAAATATGTTATCAAGACAATCATTACTATATTAGGGGTTCACACTGACTAAATTTTCGTCAAAATGGGTTTAGGGTTACGCGCCATCCCTGGATGGATATGACGAACAAAGGATCTAGAACATAAGTATATAAATAAATAAACGAACATGTATATTTTAGTTCAAAGTTAATTAACTTATTTAGAGGCTGTTTATTTCTCAAGTATTTTTAATGACCAGTTTAACAACTATTCTTGACAACTATCAATATCATGAAGATAAAGAGCCTATTACCATAAAATGATCGTAACAAGAGATTCTGAATTAATTTTGATTTTTTGAAATGCTTTATCAAGTACAAATTCTATTTCAAAAAGTTCAGTAACATTATACGATTTTTTAAAAAAGTAATGACACTTTTGTTATCAAACGACAAGAAGTAAAAGTACTATTTGGCTTATATTCATCTAGCCCGGGTACTTCTCCACTAACCAAGAAAAAAAGAAATGTTGCAGGTATATTTAAAAAATAAGGCATGATTGTAATGGATTAATCTTCTATAATTATGATAACGGTATTTTTATATATTAGTATCTGTAAAGCATGATTCCTTATTGCCAATTTATAATTAGTGTGCCCAGAAATATGCATTGCATAATTAATTATGTGCGCAACGTATAATTTTTTTTTACTGTGAAAATTTAAATCAATAAGTGCTCAAAAACGTGTAAATCAAAGTAGAAGATATAAAAAGAGTTTTATGCAGATGGCACTAAATTATTTTGTATAGTATGAAAACATGCCGTAAAACGTGATCGCAAATCAACACTTGATAACCATCTAGATTGTATAAAAAGAACAAAAATATTATCCAATAATCCAATAATCTTTCTTTAAGACAGCGAACAATTCCTACTTTGTACCAACATGTTTCTAAAAAGCAACATATTTGATCAAAGTACTTGCCGCAACAAACATTCCTTTGGAAAAGATTGAGTCACTTGAACTATTTTTGAAGAAACATTGTAGTTATTTATTTTTTAAATACGTATTTTTAATAATAAACTTATTTAAATAGGAGGTATTTCGAGAACGTTATTTGCCAATCGTTTATGAAAATAACTGATTTTGGTTTGCTGTTTACTGATTGATTTAAATTTAAAAATTGATTAAGGCCTAAAATCGATTCTTCTGAGTCGTTATCTGAGTCGTTACTTTCTTCACTAGGTATTTGTTCCTCAGAACTTTGTATTACTTCATTTATTTCTCTTGCGAATTGATGGACGGGTTCATGCTGCTGTGGTTATATAGCCTTGATATAACGAGGATAAATCTTCCGGATATTCTCTATATCTTATACTAACTAATAGCATTAAGGAAAACGATCAGAGTCCTCTAATAGTAATTGTTGGTATGATTTTTTTCCGGATTTAATGATCTCGAGAAAGTTCGATTTCCTGGTGCCGGTTTCTACTATCATAATCTATCAACAAAGCCGCAAAAGTCTTGAGAAAAATATGTAGCAATTGTTTATATATTGTTGGGTTGAATTCGAGACGACAAATATGGAACAAAATATTTTCTTTAATTAATCTGTCGCAATCCTTCCTCAAATATCCCTTTCTCTTATAGTGGCTGAAACAAGATTGTTTTTGGAATGTGAATTCTTCTACTTCAATTAGTCGCTGGACTTTGCAGTCTTTCTTGACGTGTCCTTTAATCCTGCAGGAATGACAAGTTTTATTTTGATAATATACCAAGTGAATGGATTGAGGGCCCTTTAAGAATTTGTTGATAAACGCAGATGAAAGCTTCTGATTTAATTATTTCGAGTTTCTTAATAAGAAAATGGGAATAATCTTAACCTCGTAAGGTATAAGATAAAAATAAAGGTAATAGTAAAAGATCGGATTGAAGGGGCTATGTATTACTAAATAAAGTTAAATAAATTATAACGTTGTACAAAGTAAAATAAATAAATAAAGGTAAAAATAGTATTTAGTATTAGGATTGTAATTATAATTAATTTCTAATTTCGGTAACATTATTATGGTTATTATCATTATCATTATCATTATTATTGTCATCATTGATTATTTAACGAAAAGAATATGATGAATTTAATTTTAGTGCAACGTTAAAAAGGAGATTTTCGTATAGAATTACAAACTTTATGGTAGGTTGTCATTAATAGGGTCAATTAATTTAGTGTTAGGGTCAATCTGTGGGTCAAATTGTTATATGCTTCAAAAAAGGTTAGTTAGGTTTAATAGGGTCAAATTTATTAGTCAACGATTGTATATATTAGGGAACCAAAATTTCGTGTAACAAATTTTTTCTACTCATTCAAAAACCAATAATTTTAACGAAAGAATACAACTCAATCAAATCAGTGCAACATACTTTGTAACAATTTAGAAAAGATTGGCAATATTT